CTTTAACTAAAAGCAGGTCACTGGTAAAGGTTGTTGAGCACTATTTTGACATCCAATAATAAATGTCCTACAGTTACGACTAGAGTTTGGTTTCTTCGGCCCAAATTAGAATGGAAATGTTTGACAATTCTTTGAATAATTTTGGTCCGTCTCTGTTCACTGTACCCAATTACAAATTCCAGGTTTTGTAATCCAAGCTAAGCATGACTGAACTGTCTATGCTTTTAACCTTTACTGTTACTGCTGCTCTGATTTAATTATGTCCCGCTTAGCTTTTCAATGCTATCAGTAGGCTACAGGATACAGTACCTACATCAATTTTGTTCTAACTGACTTTCCTGTACTTGGTTTGGATCACATAAACCTAAAACAATTTGTTGTTTCTTTGTGCAAAACTGGCACCGCTCTCTCTGGATGAATGAATTAAAGCTAAATCACTTGAACAAATCTATGGAAACCTGTGTTTGGTCTGTGCCTGGACAGTATGCGTGATATGCATAGCTGAAGAAAACATTCAAAGCCTTGGATTTAGACAGATGAGACCCCCACACATAGGCTCCATAACACTAATACACACAGTTGTCTTCTGGTTTTAGTTATAGGGTCTGCAGGTTTCGCCAGGGTTAATACCAGAAGACTATTTCACACTTGCTAATTGCTCCATATGCACACATGGCCATACAAGAATGTAGTCACTTAAGACTCAGTGTGGATAGAAGACAACACAACCAACATATTCAATTTTCCATGGCTGACACTTATTCAGCCTGTTTTAAGTTTGACTTAATTCTACTGTACAAGAAAATGAAGTGTTTCAACAACTGATGCAACAACAGAAGAGAGGGGGAAAAAATATAAATTTTGCTTATGCTCCTTTCCTGAAACAGGTCACAGGTGAAACAAGTGAAATCCAATTATTTTGCCAAATTAAGTAAGTAAAATGTTCTCTCGCATTCATTACATTGCTTTTGTGGTAATTATTTAGCTGGAACTTGAGCTAAACGTTGCAAGCTAGCCAGTTGAGTCATAAAACGTATTTCCTTTTAGTTTTAATAGAAATAAGTTCTCCTATTTAGCTTACGTAGGTAGCTAGCAAGCAAATGTTAGTTAGCCAGTATAACCTGTCTCGCTTAAGAAGACTGTGTCTGCTAATACTTCATTTTATTTTATTTAGGATATATACAGCCAATTCACTACAACAGTAATGCTTTTCATATAGACCAGGTCTAGATACTCTTTGTGCTATTATTTACAGAGACCCAACAATTCCCACCATGAGCAAGCACGAGGCAACAGAGGCAAGGAAAAACTTCCTTCTAAGAGGCAGAAACCTCGAGCAGAACCATGGCTCAGGGTGGGCGGCCATCTGCCCCGACCGGTTGGGGTTAGTGTACTGTACGACAAACTTGCTTTCGTGTTTTCGTTTTAGCAGGCAGAGGTTAACAAATGTCTGGCTAATGTTTCAAACATAGCAAGCAAAGTTACCAACCCCCCCCTCTTTTAGTTTCTTAAAGAAATTAAATTCTCCCACCATGAGTCAGCTACGTAATTGTCATGATAAAGTGAGAAAAAATAGGTGGGCAGGGACCGGAGAAAGACTGTTACGTTAGCTAAATAGGTTACCTTACTTTTAATTCATTCATCTCTTCAGAAATTATTGTGAACATGTTTACTATGCAATTATTCTGTAAGGTCACCACAAATGACTGGCTTGCTTATCTTAAATGTTCACACACCTCCCGCTGTACCGGAGTGTGAAGACATGAATAAACATTTAGTTGCATGCATTGTTATGTTACTCTCTTGCACACAGAAAAAAAATACAGATTTCTGTCCTCACCGGTGTGTAGGGTTGATGATGTTGATGCTGCTGTTTGAGATGTGGTTTGTTTTACCTGCAACCAAGTTACAGGTGCTGCTGTTGATCTTAGAAGTCTTTGCGTGACCCGTGTCCGCTGAGCCCTGTTGCCAAGAACCCTGGGACTTCTTTTCCTCCAGCATGGCCAAAAATACACATACAAATATATGCACGCAGATATACAGTGCACACTCTCTTTAATCACATACACACATAGGCCTACACATGTCTACTTCTGAGTCATACACTTCCAAATCCAAAGATAAATCCCAAAATTAGGAAGTAAAACGTCTCTTGCTATTTTGCTTAAATGATATCCATGTTTAGAAAGAAAGCTGTATCATTTTCCTCTCAATAAATCCTCAGGTTTAAGTCATTCTAGAAGAATTCCTCAGGGTAAAAAAAAATCCTCCCGTAGTTTTGGAAAATTAAGGCAATGGATTCGCTTTCACCTGTTGCTTGCAATACATCCATACCAATCTGGATAATAAGTTACAAACAAATAAACAAACTTAAGTCGGTAAATCTTCCGAGCTCCCCAAAACATAAAGTCCTCCGGAGTATTCCAGAATTTCAGGCTTCCCAGAACTCAGAATTTCTGGAACTCGTTTTGGATTTCTGGGGGCTTAAAGCCATTAGTGGCTCAGCGGGATTTGAGCCACGAGAGACTGAGAGGCGAATCAGGAGATACTGCATGGCACTACACCCGTCCCTCTGAGCCAGCAGCTGGAGAGGGAGAGAGACAGGGAGAGAGAGAGACGGAGAGAGAAGCAAGCGAGGGAATCTTGAGGGCAAGAGAGGGTGGGGAACTGTCTATATGTTCTACCAATAAAAGGAGGGTCACAAGATATCAGGCTACTCGATTCCGATTTCTTTGATTGACTGTTTGCAATATTTTATACAGTGGTGTGAAAAAGTGTTTGCCCCCTTCCGGATTTTTTTTTTTTTTTTGCATGTTTGTCATACTGAAATGTTTCTGATAATCAAACAAACTGAAATATTAGACAAAGAAACAGAAGTAAACACAAAATGCACTTTTTAAATGAAGGTATTTATTATTAAGGGGAAAAAATCCAAACCTACATGGCCGTGTGTAAAAAAGTGATTGCCCCCTAAACCTAATAACTGGTTGGGCCACCCTTAAGCCTTGTACAGACTACACGACTTTCATCGTCGGCCGATGGCCGTGCTGTTCACACTACACAACTTGCCGTCTTGTGACTGACTCTGCGCGGCTCTGTCACCCGCTGCTGGTCTCCAAACCACGTTTTGTCAATAAAACACATGTGAAATGTGAAACGGGAAATGACACGAACCTACACGTGAAACAGCTGTTGTTCGTTATTATAAAGATAGCAATTATAAAGACAATAATATGGGTGAAAAAATGGATTAGCACATGCAGGTAGCAGGGATTGTCTGAGCTACAGAGAGAGCTGGGGGTGAGTAAAAAGTGTGTGACAAACTAGTTGCCTGCTCTGCCAGCTGCCTGCTCTCTTTGGTTGGATGTGGAGTCGGCCGACACTTCCAGATATTTGGCGTGTTAGATATCTGGCAGACGTCGGCGATGTGTCAGAAATGTGTTGGGGAGCCGTTTCGATGCGACGTTGTGTAATTCATACAACGACTGGCGACGGCAGATCGACCGCTGATTTATCCCTAATCGCAGCCAAATCAGGCTAAAAATCGTGTAGTGTGAACTAGGCTTTAGCAGTAACATCTGCAATCAAGCGTTTGCGTCAATGACTCTTTCACAGCCCTGTGGAGTAATTTTGACCCACTCATCTTTGCAGAATTTCTGTAATTCAACCACACTGGAGGGTTTTCAAGCTTTTACTGCTTTTTTAAGGTCATGCCACAACATCTCAATCAAATTCAGGTCAGGAATTTAATTAGGCCACTCCAAAGTCTTCATTTTGTTTTTCTTGAGCCATTCAGAGGTGGACTTGTTGGTGTGTTTTGGATCATTGTCCTGCTGCAGAACCCAAGTTCACAGATGGCAGGACATTCTCCTTCAGGATTTTTTGGTAGACAGCAGAATTCATGGTTCCATTTCCCACAGCAAGTCTTCCAGGTCCTGAAGCAGCCCCAGACCATCACACTACTAGCACCATATTTTACTGTTGTTATGAGGTTACTTTTTTTGTTACTTTTACGCCAGATGTAACGGGACACACGCTTTCCAAAAAGTTCAACTTTTGTCTCATCAGTATTTTCCCAAAAGTCTCGAGATCATCAGGTGTGTGTGGAGCAGACAAACCCAGACTCCCTTGTTATTGTTCTCGGTGACTTTAACAGGGGAAATCTCAGCCATGAACTCCCCAAATACAGACAGTTTATAAAGTGCCCAACCAGAGAGGGGAACACTTTGTATCACTGCTATACCACAGTTAGCAGTGCCTTTCACGCCGTTACACGCACTCCACTGGCACACTCTGATCATGTGATGGTCCATCCGATTCCTTCTTACAGGCAAAATTTAAAGTTGTGTAAATCTGTAGTGAGGACATCAAAGAAGTGGACAAGTGAGGCTGATGAGGATCTTCAGGCGTGTTTGGACTGCACTGAATGGGATGGTTTCAGGACTGCTCCCAACAATCTGGATGAGTTTACAGAGGCTGTGACATCCTACATCAGCTTCTGTGAAGACAGCTGTATACCAACACGCACCAGGGTGGTAAAACAATGACAAACCCTGGTTTACAGCCAAACTCAGACAGCTAAGGTTGGAAAAGGAGGAGGCTTTTAGGAGTGGAGACCGAGCCGGGGGCAGGGCGTTAAAGTACAGGTTTAGCAAGGAGGTGCGAGAAGCTAAACGACTGTACTCAGAGAGGCTACAGAACCAGTTCTCTGCAAAACGACGCCACTTCTGTCTGGAGGGGATTCAGACAGATCACAAACTACAAACCCAAAGTCCTCCACTTCATCAATGACTCTCGCCTGGCAAATGAGCTGAACCCGATCTACTGCCGCTTTGAGGTTTGGATTTTTTCCCCTTTATAATAAAAACGCTAATAAAGACGTTCCTTGCGTATCTATTCCAAGTTCTGTTTCAAAACGATAAACTGTGCTTTGTGTGGGTAATCAATGGTGATGAATGATTGTGACATGAGCGCCCCAAAATAGCCAAAATGACATGATCCTTGTTAAATAACAGCTCAGTCTTTATGTCAAAATCATAAAATGTTCCCCTAGTAAACACATAATTATTTTTACAAAAAAAACATACATTGTATGATATTTATTAAATAAACACAAAAAACATCCCATAATATAATCTCTTGACTCATACTGACTATAACAGTTATGTAAATTATTTTTCACATAAAAGATTCTCTCCAAAAAGTAAAAGCAATGAGAAAATGTGTTCATATTGTCATCGAGATACAAAATGCTTGCTAGTGTTTGTCTGACTGCGACATGGGCTTAGTTCACTTCAAGCTGAGACAGCTAATCTGACAGTTAAGGGCATTTGCAACACAAACTATAACTACTGTTATTAAGACAACATATTTTCTCTCACTCCGATTGAATCCTTTTTTGCCATCTTTCTCCAAAAAGTAGAAATGTGATAAAACTTTATAACTCTGAAAGCTTGAACTGAGTTTGATCTGGAGGAACCACGCCCTCTTCCTGTTCCTGAGCAGATTTCCTCACAAACCTGAGCTGATGTTTCCAAGTTTCCAGACAAAAAAACTATTTTGAGAAAATCAATAAAAAAACAAACCGCAAATGAATGTGTGTTACATTCTACTCTTGTTTGTATGGGCAGACTAAACAAATCATCTAAAAATACTGGTGTAATCATTTATTGATGAGTAAAAGAGGTCATGCAGCACCTTTTAAAGCTCTGGGGCCGTATTACAGAAAGTTCTTAACCGGTAGATCCTATCCTAACTGCTTGGTAACCATGGGCCATTACAGAATACGACCCCTGAACTCTTATATGTGACTTACCGACTTCATGATAAAACTCAGTTCATGTTTCCTTTTTTCGCCAGCTGATGCAACTTACCTCCAACTGGCTTCAGCTTTTTTACATTTTTAACAAACAATACATAAATAAATAAGTAGTTGAAGTTGGAACCAATCGGAAACAGAACCTTGAAAACTTTGTGTTGAACTTTAAGTTGGTTTCTGTTGAAGCTTCTGGTAATGTTTCTGAAAGGAGAATTGGGTGAACAATGTAAGTCCAAGTGTGTGTTTGGGGTTGTTTCATTTTGTGTATGTGTTTGTGTGTACCTGAAGGTTGTTGTAATGTGTCCGGCTGCTGCAGTGGAGGTCCATGGCGGTGCTCTCGTAGAAAACAGAGCAGAGATTACAGAAAAAACCTGATTTGGGGACCATGAACTCCTGACCTGAAGAGGGAGACGGTGAAAGAGAAACAGAAGGAAAAACTGTGACAAAACATTTGCGTCTCCTGTTGTGTGAGCGCTGTGTGTGTTTGTGTGTGTCTCTCACCGAGGGGGTTGTTGGGTTTAAATGCCGGCAGTTTGAAGTCGGCAGAGACACAAGGAGGCCGAGAACGAGATCGCTTTGCTTCAGGTGCAACAAGCTCCCCCCTCTGCTTACTAAGAACTGAAGAAGGAAAGAACAATCTGTAAATCATATAAGCCACGGCAGACTTGATGATCAGAGTTCTGTGGGGGCCATAACATCCAATCAGATTCCTCCCTGATGGTATTGCATGATGAATAAGCATCTGCCTGTGCTTCTCAGCACTGAGGAGACCATTAATTCTGATGAAACGCCCGACATCTGTTTACCCAAACTAGCAAGGAACATCTTCCATGCTTCACTGCTCATTCTTGTACCGCTCTCCAGCCCTTCAGCGAACAAACTGCCTTCTGCCTTCAAATTTGGCCATGGTATATGACATTTGACAGTAAACTGTGTTCAGCAACCTCACCTTGTTAGCGAAGTTTTGTTGTTTCTCTACCAGTTGTATTCCTCCTACACAGCTGTTTCTGTTTCAGTTAATGATTGTGTTTCAACCTACATATTGAATTGGTGATCATAAGCACCTGTTTGGTATAAGTGTTTATCCATACACATGACGATATGCCTATAAAATCCCTCCATCTAAAAAGATTCAAGTTAATTTTATCCTGTAATTGAATTACAAACAGTGAAACTTTTTTACATATAAAGTGAATTATTTCAAGCCCGTGTGTGGTGGTTTCTGCAAAGACCCTACTTTCTGCCTGTGTTTTCTGCTTATTTTGTGTGTTGAGGACATTTCTGGGTGAAAACCTTTGGGCAGTGTGCAGGGTGTGAGGTCAGGACAGAAAACATAGCGGGTCACATTGCTGTCTCCGTCTCTCTCTGCTCTTGGTCTGTGCTATAATGTGTCTTCCGTTATGCATTTTAGTCAGTCTGTTGAGCTGCCCTGTATAAACAAGCACAAGCTGCTGTTGTTCAGGAATTATATTATTATAACTTATGATGGAGCATTACTGACATATGCCAGTATTTGAGTGCCTTCACTGTAACAGTAAGAATTGTGGCCAATGAGCTCCTGTTGAATTTTAACATTTTTCAAAATAAATGTTTTCTTGCTGTACCGATAACATACCAAACTGCAAGCCCAAAACCACACATATATACAAACTGAACCGCAAATTTTGTGTACCGTTACACCCCTAGTACTTAGTAGAATTTTCAGAAAACGCACTTTTGTGGGTCCACAATACCAGCTCTGTGTGGCTGGTACTGTATGCTAAAACTGAAGATAACATTTCTGTTAGTGTGGAAATGGCCTCAGCCTATTCTTCTTTCGGCTCTCTGTACCTTTAATGTCGGTCCTGCTCCTCCCTTCCTTCTCCTCCTCCACACATTGCTCCAGTGTCTGGTTCTTAGGGTGTTCCTCATACCCAGCAGAGGCAGCATCAACGTCGGCTTGGCCCGCTGCTTCCACCTCTGCCTCTGCCTTCTGGCTCTCCGGCTGGCCATCGCCCAACAATGTAGACAGGTCTTTGTCCAATGATGACGAGGCGTCGAGTGACGTGGAAGGCAATACATCAGCTGGTTCCTTTCCTTCTTCTCTGTCATCTTTTGTGCCCACTTTTTTCTCTCTGGTAGATTTTCTCTCTGTGGTAAAAGACAATGAATTGGTTGAGCGAACAATGATAAGGAAACTGCATAATCATAATTTTAATTACTCTTAATTAGGTTTCATGTTTTAGAGCCCCATCATTGTGCTCCAGAGATCATCTTTCGGGTAATGACATGATTGTACAAAAGATGTGTGCATTACTGGGGATCTGTCTGCTTCTCTTCTTGGGTCGGCCTCTTGTCCTTGGCGTTGTCACTTTTTCCTCCTCCTGTGCCCCCTCGTGTGCAACCATTGAATGATCTGGATGGATGAGGGAGCAGTGTGAATGAGAGCCTCAGAAGCCAAGAAAGTTTTAGTCCCACCCTGCCCTCCTTTACTGAAATCTCTGAAAGCCTACCTATCCACCATAATCACCAGCATGAAGTCCTCAACCGGGGCCCTTGACCATATCCCCTCCTCTCTAGTCAAGGCCCGCGTACCCACACTCGTTACCAATGTAATCAACGCCTCCTTGTCCACTGGCCTCGTCCCCCCCACCCTCAAGCTCCTTGATATCACCCCAATACTAAAAAAACCCAGTCTCGACCAAATCTTCTCCAACCTTCCTTTTCTGTCCAAAATCCTGAGTGAGTTGTCGCTGCTCAATTCAAATCCCACCTCGTCTCCAATAACCTGAAACTTTCCAATCAGGCTTCCGCTCCAAACACAGCACTGAAACTGCCCTTCTTAAAATCACCAATCACATATTTCTCTCTGCTGACTTTGGGTTCCTCACCATCCTTATCCTCCTCAACCTAAGACACCATCAACCAATCCGTCCTTCTCAGACGCCTTCAGGACTCCCTTTACATAACCGGCACTGCCCTTTCCTGGCTCAACTCCTACCTCTCTGACAGACACCAACATCCCCATTGTCATCCCCTCCACCTCTTGCCCGACGTCAGCCAGGTTGCCTTCCTTCACCTCAAGAACATCATCCACTTCCAGGCCCCCCTTGTCCTTTACTGCTGTACACTCATCGGTGCCCTCATCAGTTCCAGACTTGCAACTGCATCCTCTATGGTTCACCTAACAAAATCCTCAATAAACCACAGGTACGTCCAGAACTTCGCTGCCCGCATTCTCACCTGCATCCATCGCAGAGACCACACCACCCCTGTACCATCAATGTCTCCTGGTTAATTACAGGATCCAGTTTAAATTTCTACTCATCAACTACAAAGCCTTAAACAACCTTCATTTCATTTTCTTTCTTAACTAATTATTTTTATCTTTCACCATTTAGAAAAGCGCTATAAAATCTAATTTAATATTATTATTTTTTATTATTTTCACAGCAGAAACATTGACTTGTCAAAGCAGGAAAAGCTTAGGTGGGATGAATAATAATGATGGCTGCACTTCATTTAGGTGAGCCAGCTCCAGGGCTTTGGTATCAATAACTGAAAATGCTTACTGACATACAGTACATACTAATGGTATGTAGTTATTGTTAATATTAGTATTTACACGTGCTTTTCCTGCTTTCACAAGACAAAATGTCTGCCTTGAAGAAAGTCCTGATTTAAAATCACAAGATTTGTTCAATGGAGATAATCATAATAAGATAAGTACACAGTAGTATATAACGGAATAACACACACCTGTGCCAACGTCTTGTTTGCATTTGACAGATCTTGATGTTTTCTTTTCCTCATCACTGTCTGCTTCATCTAAACGCATCAAAGTCTAAAAACAGAAGAAAGAGATGTTTTGTGTTTTCTTGTGTTTCCCAGTGCTTCACCATAATTAGATTACCGTAATAAAAAAAATAAAACTCGTATGTGTTCAGATCTTAACCTTTACCTCTGGTTTAAAGGAGTCCACTGGTTCATCCTCCTGGCTGAGTGGGCGGATCTCCACCGTGCTTTGCTCGGCCTTCCCCTCCTCCTCCTCCTCTTCTACAAACTCATCCAGAGTGACGAGTGCTTGTGGCTCTCCCTCCGTGACCGCCCTGTCCCCCTCTCGGCTCTCCGCCACTCTTTCCTCTCTAGCTCCATCTGCCCCCACTTCATCCAGAGTCACCAGCTCCTGGGCATCTACCTCCACCTTCTCAATATTTTCCCTCCCTCTTTCCTTTGTACTTCTTGTCCTGGCAGGGACTTTCTCCTCTTTCTTTGGTCTTCCCCTTTTTCCTTTGCCTCCTGTAGCGGGCTGATCAATCTTAACAGCTTCATTCTCCATAGGAGATATTTCATAGGTCGCTTCACTTATTTCTCTTGCAGCAATGTTCTTATTCTTTGTTGGTCTGCTCTCTTTTGGAGGAGCTTTCTTTGGTCTTCCCCTCTTTCTCTTTCCTCCCGTGGCGGGCCATTCAACCCTAACAACCTCGTTCTCCATAGAGGATAATTCACAGGTAGCGTCATCCCCAATTACCTCTCTTGCAACAATGCCCTTCTTTGTTGGTGTGCTCTCTTCTGGAGGAACTTTCGACTCTCTCTTTGGTGTTTTTTCCAGTGACTCTCTGGCAGGAGTGTGCCTCCTTCTCATTGGCGTGTCCTCTTTTTGTGTTTTCTCTTTCGAAGAATCTTTATTAGTTGTTCTTTCCCTTTTTCCTCTAGTGGATCTTGTCGTGATCGTCAGTTTATCATCAGCAGTCTCGTCCTCCACAGAGTTTAAAATCCTGTATGTAACCTCCTTTGGCTTAGGAGATGAATCTGTGAGATTCAATGTAATTCTTTCCTCTTTTTTCCCTCTTGCACTCCTTCTTCTACCAGACCTTTCTGTGGCAGTAGCATCTTGAACCTGTTTGGTGACAACAGAATCTAGCTGGTTCTCATGAATCATCTCCTCAGTGTCCTCTTTGCCTGTTTTAGAAATCACTGCAGTGGTGTCCATCTTAGTTTGTGTCTCATATTTTTTAACCGTCCTGTGCTGTTTCTTTGGAGATTTCTCTTTTTCTTCACTTTTGGACGCAGAGGTTGCAGGGCCACTCCTCTTTGATGGTCTCTCATCTTTTCTAGAAGTTGCTTCCTCTTTCTTGGTGCTTTTTTCCTTGTCAATGAAAAATGACTCGACCTCTCTAGTTATCGGCTGATCTTCCACGGAATCAATTACCTGATATGCGTCTTCCTCTATGGGCCCAGTGTCTTCTTTAGGTATCTGCTCACTGGGATCTTCAAGTTTGTCGTCTTCTGTAGCAGTTTGATCATTAATTGAATGCAACATCTCAAAGGTTTCTTCTTCTTTGCTGTCGCATTCTTGAAGAGGCTGGTCTTCATTTGGGATTCGGCCATCAGGATTTTCCACATCTTTGGAGGTTTTAGAGGATTCTGCTGAAAGTGTTTTAACTTTGACCTCTTCCTCTTTTTGTTCTTTCTTTTTCCCATCTCCCTTTGGACCTTGTTTGCTACCTTTAACTAACACTTGGAATTGTTCTTTGTTATCTGTCTCTTTACCAACTGCATCTTTAACGGCATCATCAGATTTGTCGACTACTGGATTTGCATCTTCCTCAGACAGTTGTTTTACTGTGGAACCGTCATCTTGGACCAGGCGACTGTCCTCTTGACCTGCAGCTGCTTGGTCTTCAGTAACACTGTCTAGCACTTGTAAAGAACTGGTCATTTCCATTTCACTGTCCTCCTCATCTGTTCGATCATCGAGTGAATCAAGGATTTGGAAATTTTCTCTATCGTCCTCCTCCACCTCTGAATGTTTGTCAACATCTTCTTTCCCTTCCTTTTTTCTTTTCTTCTGGTCTTTGAGAGTGTTCACATTACAATCAGTACCCAGACTCTGGGCTTGGCTCAACTCTACCTCATGTCCCTGTGGAGGTGGACGCATTTCTGATGATGATTCTATTTTTCTCTGTGACTCACCAGTTTTTGCAGCAATGCCCTCTGCTGACACTTTGTGGTCAGACTTTGCCACTTCGCTCTCTGTGTCTTGTGTTTCTTCTCTAAGAGGCTCCAGATGAGTTTCCATTGATCCATTGACAGTTACTGCTGCTGTTTTATTTTCTGTTTTACTTGCAGCTAAGGGGGAGTGGTTTTTACGACTGGAAGATGCAGTATTTGATGCTTTGGCTGGAGATTTAGTCCTCTCCTGTTGTGTTTTCTGGCCCAAAGAGGAAGGGAAAGTGATAGCAGACAGTGTACCTGGGCCACTGGTTTGAAGGGCAGCTCGGGACCCACTATCCAAAAGTTTAGGAGGATGAAGCTGAGTTAGGTATTTCACAGCTGGGGACTTGGCTTCAAGACTGACCGGTTCAAAGTTTATTGTGATCTCACTAGAATCTTGTAGACGCCGTTTTAGACTCTTCAGGCTAAAATTAAAAACAGAAAAGGATTGTCAGTATATCATATTCAGTTTACAATGATTTAAAACTTAAAAAATATGTCACACATTGATCACTGTCACGCTTTGGCAACTAAAATATGAATATCAATCAATTAAATAGTGGTATACTCACGTCTCAAAACGTTTAACTTTATTCCACCTGGAGAAAGAATAAGAAGGAGTAGGTCAGTTTAGGTGTGACGATGGGAGATTAAAAAACATCCATACACATACACAGGCTACCAGCTTTAACAAAGAAAAGTGAGTAATTATAAAACTAATTCAACCCCATTTCATACACAACAAGGACGCATGCATACCATGTTGTGCACCTTTTAGAAGAGTCTAGTGGGAATGTGTTGTATTTCTTCACCACCTTTGCTACCCCGCTGGAGTCAGCCATCTCAATGCAGATCTGAGGTAGAACAACAGTCATAGACAAAGAGAGAGTTGAAGACCGTGACAAAAGCAACAAACAGAGACAGAGCAGCAACAAACAATAAGAATGTTTGTATGTGAAGTTACAGTATTTTCAAGCTGACTGTGCTGAAAGAAACTCCACCTCTATGGAAGGAAAGTGAACACTTTATTCTAAGGCCTTTTTTGAAAACTAAATTCAATGCTTCAAGTCTTTTCAACACCAACAGGATACACTGATATCACGGTTGTCACAACACATAAAAGTGAAAACTGCAGGGGTTTGGGTTTTTGTACCCTGTTGGCGAGTGGCAGGAAGCTGACAAAGGTCGCTATGGAATCCACCACATCCATGACCTTCTTGATGACTTCCCCAGACGTCTCAGAAATCTCCACACAGAGCAACCGCTCCTCCAGAGACCTTGGCTCTGAAACTCCCTGAACAGCAAGAAACAGTTGGTGTTAAGGATCAGAATAATCCATGTATTGATTCTATGAATCCAAAACAAAATAATAACAACCCACAGACAGAGAGTTTGATTTTAATATTTAATGTTTCCTTTTTGTGTGACCAGGAAGTTTCATACTTCCTTGTGTGTTGCACTTGATAAAGGTGCAGCAAATATACTTGGGCGATAGGGTTACTTTATTTAAGGTAATGAATATGAGCTTGAACAACATTATGTGGCTTTGGAGGGAGGGATACTTTCAAATGTAGTTGTCTCTTGTTTGTTCTCTGACATTTCCTACCGCATCTTTAACTACATTTGCTTTTTTGATTCAGAGATCCAAAGATAGATGCTTTCACTTGACAAAAGATTTACATAAGGTATTAATGACTTACAGTATTACTCCACTTCATCAGACTTCTGTACATCATATCCTGCAAAAAATTACAAGTAACAGATCGTCAAAAAATGTTTCATTATATCTGCATTTTTAACATTTTGTACCAACATATTTTCTCTAAATATCCCAAATTGTGTGTGCATATTTGTATTTCTGTGCTTGTCTATAAAGTACTAATAAGGACACCAGCATATCTGCTATTATTTCCTTCAGAAATGTCTAAAGAAGAAAGAAATTGCAGTGTTGGCATGTAATGTTAAGTACGTGTTAACAAAAACAGAGACCTCTAGATTCCTGTCTGCTTCTAAAGGTGAATTTTCTATCCCATCCTTATCCCGACACAGAACCCTGTCCGGGCTTTAGTGTCCATACCTCAGTGGATGCAGGATTCATGTGTTGCAAGACGAAATGTACACTGAGCTTGGAGCCTTTGACAGAAACCGGATTTGTGATGTGATCTCGGGCAAAATTGCAGCACGTAGTCCAATCAGCGAAAAAAACAAAAGCCTGAAGGTGAAGAGAGGAAAAACATTTGATTTCAAACACACCTTCATCTAATACATGTTTAATAAATGTGCCTGTAACAGTGTGCAGATTCTACTCCTTACCCTCCTCTGTAGCGATAAGACCGTCACGTTGTAGTACAGGGAGCGAAGGTTCTGTTTGGGGAAATACCGCCAGACCAGCTTGGCCACATCCTCGTGCTGGTAGTTTCCCTCTGGTAAACCGGTCAACATGATTGTGGGGAACTTGGAACCACTGGCCTTCTAGAAAAAGACAACGTTCAAAGCCTTCAGTATAAATCTTGTGTCGACGTTCTACTTTATGGTACATTTTGATATACCAATGTACTCACACTGAAATTTCACATTGGAATTTCAGATGAACAAAAACACCTATATCAGAATTTATAAGAGAAGTAAGCGATATTCTGGGAGATATATGGTTGAACATGTGTGTAAAAGTAATAGATTTTTTGAAGAGAAAATTCAGCACCTTTATGTGGATGTCCAGTCAATTTAAGCATTAATTCCTTAGTGAGATATATTGACCGAGAAAATGGAGTTGGCAGTGATTCTCCCTGCATCAGTAATGTAGTTGGAGGCAAGTAAGAATGACAGCTTGGATTTCTAATCTCTGGCTTTGGGTCGCCAGGGGGCGTGCTCTAGATGCTGCTCAAAAACAGAGCTTCCTTGTTATCTTTGCTTGCATTGCACACCAGCTACCTTTCCAACAGCAAAAAGGGTATTCTAAAATATGTATAAGTTTGTGAGCCCTTTAGAATTTTCTATATTTCTGCACAAATAACGGTTTTCATTTAAACCAGTTCTATTTTGGTCTAATTCGTCCACAAAACATTTTTCTAATGTCCTTTTTTTCTTTTCCACGTGATCTTGTGCAAACTGCAGGCGCCCAGCAATGTTACTTTTGGAAAGGAGTGGCTTTTAATTTGCAACCCTGCCATGCACACCAGTGTTGTTCGGTGGTTTCCTCATAATGAACATAAATATTAGCTCAAGTGAGAGGCCTTTAGTTGCTTAGAAGTAACCGTGGGTTCCTTTGTGACCTTGTGTACTATTAAAAGCCTTGCTCTTGGAGTAATCAGTGTTGGCCGAATTCATTCATTTCCTCCAATTGTCCACAGTCTGTCTTTCCAGCCAGATGAGCATCAACAACTCTTTTTCTGAGATCCTGAAAGCAGGTTCACATACTTTTACCACTAACAGATACAAGAATTATTGGTCATTTCCCTCATAATACTTTTGTCTCATTTGTTTAATTGGGTTGACCTGATGTAAAATCTGAGTTAGTGTAAAGTGTAAAGCGTTGACAAACTTTCAAGCACCACTGTATGTGTGAAGATGTGTTAAAAAGGCTGGCTCCACTTGGACTTTTCCTCCTCCCCTTTAAGAGTATTAAGTTCTGTTTCTGAGGTTGTGCAAAAGGATATGGCTGGCCACCCAGAACGCAAACTGTGGAGAACAAAGACCGACTGGTGGTGCCTTTGCTCAAATTTTCCTCTGATGCTAATAGAAAGTGAACCATTCTGCTACAATGCATTTTCCCCTAACCCTCCCCCCTACAATATTCACTGAATGGACATCCACATAAAAAGTTTCCTGGCTGTTCAGATGAAAGCGGTTATGGTCATTGGAGACACCTGATGCCGAACGACCATCCAAAACTGACAAATGTGTTTTTTTCAGTTTCCTGGGAAGGGATGAAAGGACAGCATTGTAAGTGTTGGATAAGTAGTATCGCAAATCTCCTCCCCTGCTGAGAGATGGTTTCTTCAGTCAGGTGTAAATGGTTTCTTTGACTCCTCCTTCAAGCCATCTATCCTCCACGTCCAAAATACACATTGTCATCCCCTTAACCTTCAGATGTAAGTAAACTGCGGAGTCTTGATCTGAGGAGTTGGCCCCTTCTGTGTTGAGCAATGTGTTTGTGTAGAGGCTGTTTGTTTACAGTACAGTATGCAGGTCTGAGCATTCCTCACTACATTGGACAGCATTTACTAGATTGCTTTTCTTATGTTTGGGTGTACGGTCTTTCAGGTGGACCAGTATCTTTCTTAGTAGATTCTTGGATTTACAAAATACAGGGATGTGGTGTTTGTTGAGTTTCTCTGATACTTAGGACATCGATTGAATCACAATGTTGTTGGGTTTACTCTTCTTTTCCTCATCATCCATAGTGTTCTTCTTGGATTTTAGCTCATTTAGTTTTGAACTTTTTGTTACTCAATTTGATTACCTTTGTTTTTGTGGATTCCCTTGTTTCAGACCACCTCAAGTTGAGTGCCTGGACTTTATCTGTAAGTTACTCTTTAATAAATCCTGAAGAATCATCCTGCCTAGTCCGCGTTTGCTATTGGGTCCTAAAACCTGTTACCTGACGGAGCACACAGCCCTAGTTCAGACATGCGTGCATCCTTCAGATGTTTTTGCTCCTTCTGTTGGGCATGGGCAATAGTTGAGATCAACTATTGGTAGCTGCTGTGGTATGATGGCAAAGTTTAATCATTTGGCCAAAACGCCTTGCTTTGGTATGTTAAGTTTCCTATCTGACAGGTTCACCCACCTGTTGTCTGTTTCATGCAATGTGGAGTTATTTTGTTTTCTTAGTGTTGCTGGCTAGTGATTGTAGGTTTTGGAATTTCTAAATATGTCTTTCCTTGCTCTTGGTGTGTTGATAGATTCAATAGCTGTAGCTCCACATGGAGTCTAGATATACGTTGTTAACTGAAATAAAAGCAAGTAAATTGGGTGAAGTCATGGTAAAAAACCTTACCTCAATGTCGTCCTGTCCTTTGACTGTCAGGTAATCTTGGAATTAAAAATGAACACAGGCAAAAGTTAACATGGTCAATCTGGCAGCATCAAACAAAGGATCAATTAACTGTTCTCTTACCTGGGATGATGAACCAAGGAGACATGGTAGGGAACAGGAAGGGCCGAGTTTTTAAGGTGACCCAAAATGGTGAAATGCTACCCTGTGGAACATTTTTAATTGGTGGGATAGTTACCCCAGCAACAATGTCCTTGCTGTCAGGCAGAGCGTTCTCAGGAAATCTTGGTGCTGCAACAACAAAAGACGAGCAACGTGTCATGTTTGAATATATTTGAAATGTGACAAAACTGTTGCACACAGTGGTTGTTGTTTAATCTTTTTTGTTAGTGTTTTGTCATTTCATTTTAAACTAATTATTAATTTATGTTTTTCCATTAAATTAACCTTTTAATCAGATTCAATAACTGGTTTGTTTTTCTCAAACAAGTTATTGATGCTGGTTCAGAACAAAGACAACATTAAGCAAGACTTTGTAGTTTACTTTCTTTAGTTGCACATTCAGTAATGAGACCAGGTAGAACAACATAAGCTTCCTGGATTTAACTCATGTATGTGTAGCCCACAGTCGCTCTGTATCACAAAATCATAACAATATAAACACAGTTACTGTGGCGAATTTAACTAAAACATGATACAACTGTATCTGTCTAGAGTGGCTGTGGTGATATCAACGGGTGATATGTCCTTAGTAACCAAGTTACTCAGAGATTATAAAACTGTTACCACTGAAAACGTGTGTAAGCCACATTTTTTCAACACAGAATATTATTTATAAAAGCTTACCAATTCTGTTCCCTATCTCCGACAGGACTCCCAGTAATGTCTTGCATCAACTAATTTAACCATAACTATGTGTACCATAACTTTGGTCTTACAACAAGAATCATTTCTTCATAATTTCAACTGCAAAACTGCCTACAGGGACCAGCTGAGGTGGAAAGAAATGTCCATGTGGGAGCAGGTTTTTAAATCTGAGAAAATAATTTCTTCAGGCGGGTGGATGATTTATTGGTACATGCAGATTTGGATCATGTATAATCATCTGAAAAAAAGAATAGTTCTGGTGCCTAAACTGATACATAAACAGTGGTGGACAACATTAAAAAAGGTTTTTTAAAATGAATATATTTTTATTTAAAGCTCCTTAAACTGAACAATATGTTAACTGTTTAAAGTATAGCCTACTTAAATATAAATATAAGTAAATACAAAACAACAAATCTACATAACACATTCTCAATATATAAACCAAGCCACCTAAACCAACTACACTGCATGCACAATTATTAGGCAAATTGTATTCCTCAGGATTAATTTAATCGGTGAACAAACACAATGCTCACTGTCAGTCCAAAATATTATTGAACCTCAAACCTGAATGTTTATCTAAGGAAAAGTGTTTTCACTTGTTGAGGAGAATGTATAAGTGTGCAGAATTTTTAGGCAACTAAATTACCAAAATGATTTCTATGAAATTACTTATTTATTCAAAATTTTTAGAATAAGTGTAACAATACAAAATGACAATTAAATAATGCCTTACAATATATTTAGTGACCAATATAGCCGCACTTCTTTTCAATAACTGCTACGAGCCTTCCATCCATGGAGTCTGTCAGTTTCTTTATCTGTTCACTCTCGCGGAAATTGTATATTGCTGGTGAGGGACTAACCAAATAATTTAGTTATGACAAACCGTTGTCTTTGAAGAATTTATTAATTTAAAAAAAAGAATAACAGAGAAGTACTTCAACAGAAAATCAACTTGTCCATAGACCTGCCGCCAAGGGCAGCTTCGAGCGTCTGGCTCAGAGCAATGTGATGCATAATCATTTACAGTCTAGGTTTCTATGTTTTGGGGAACAGAGATCCTCTCCCAGCCTTGATTGAACATTCACGGAGAGGAGAGGAACAACAAGTAAGGAAAACACTAAAACAATCTCATAGCTCTGACCTACACCCTGGTAAATGTGGACAGACTAACATAAGGAGTATAGAATAATGAAAGGTTAAGGATAGAAACAACATATACATATAAGACATAATAATAATAGAAGTATTAATAGTAACAATAAAAGATCATGCATAAAAGATTAAATGTAAAAGGAAACAATCTTCTGCCATGACATTCACAATCAACTTTCTCTGAAGCACCAACCACAGCCTCCAAAATTCTGTTCATTGTCTTCCGTGACTGTAAATCTGATGTTTGAGAAGGGCCCACAAGTTCTCAGTAGGATTCAAGTCAGATGAGAATGTGGGCCGGGTCATTTTTCCGGTATGTTTAAGGCCCTTGCTGTCTAGCCAAGCAGTGGAGTAATTGGATGCATGTGATGGATCACTGACCTGTATAAACAGCATGGCCTTCTTGAATGCTGAGGACTTCTTCTTGTATGACTGCTTGAAGAAAGATATCTTCCAGAAACTGGCAGTAAGTTTGGGAGTTGCAGGTCCAATTATCTCATTCTTCATGATAGCAGCCCATACCAGTACCACGCCTCCATCTTGCGTCAGTGATCCAGCCACGGGCCCATCCATCTGGTCCATCAAGAGTCACTCTCATCTGTCCATAAAAGCTTCGAAAAATCTGTCTTCAGGTATCTTTTTGCACAATCTTGACGCTTCAACTGAGCATTTGGCACCTTGTACTTCTGGACACTCCAGGTAGGTTGCAGTTCTGTGATATGGCGGCACTGGAGGATGATGGGTTCCTGGTAGCTTCACATTTAATCAAGTATTTTGCAGTTAATTTGGACCTTTTCTTCTCCATGAGCTTTTTATGCCCCAGTTGACTATTCACAACTAAACATTTGATTGTCCGGTGGTCACGCCTTAAAGGTTTAGCTATTTCAAGAGTGTTGCATCTGTCTGAAAGGCATTTTACAATTTTTGACTTTTCAGTGTCAGTTAAATCTTTTTTAGCCCATTTTACCTGAAGTAATGAAGCTTCCTAATAATCATGCACACCTTGATATAAGGTGTCATTCCCTTTCGGCCCACCCTCCCTCATTACACAAAAACAAATCAACTGGAAATGATTAACTCCAATTCAAGTGTATATGGTTTGGAGTTGGAAAATGTGCATAGAAATAATTACTTCCTTGCCTAATAATTGTGCATGCACATAATATGTAATAATAACAATAATTTAACACTAAATAAAACAAAAAAAAAAAGATCATCATCACCCCTCCCTCTTTCTCCTTTACATCAATCTGTTGAATCCAGGTGGATGCCAAAACATAATTTTACACCTAAGTCTGAAACACATTTCTGAGATATCTTCTCAACTAAAAACACTTGTTGAGGTGAACTACGGAAGTATGGTTACTTGATTTAACATCTTGTTTGTAATGATAGGCCTGCAGGTTAGCTGGATGAACTAAAAATAACCCTATGTAAACACCATGTTATATGAAATCAATGATTTTCAAATACTCACTAGAGCACCGAATGTCCTCCTCCACTGCTACGTCACTTGTGGCCGTAGCACTTGGTCCTGCTGTGATGGGCTCAGAAATGATGGATCCACCAGTGCCGCTGGTTTGAAGGGCAGCTTGTGAACCAGTATCCGACAGTTCAGAGGGACGAGTTTGGTATTTCACAGCTGGGGGCTTGGATGCAACACTGATGGTGTCTGGTTCAAAGTTAATTCTGATCTCACTTGAATCTTGTAGGCGCTGTTTTAGGCTCTTCAAACTAAAATTATAAAAAGAAAATTATTGTCAAAAGAAAATTAAGCATTTTCCGTTTACAATGGTTTAAAACTGAAAAAATATGTCCTCACATATGAGAAGCTGCAACCTGAGAATTTTGTTATGATATTTCTGCTTGACAAAATGGCTTAAACTGCTTAAAAAAGTTTCAGATGAATTTTCAGTTGATCAACTAATCAACTAATTGTTGCAGCTCTAAAAATCATACAGTATCTTTCATGAGTCATCTTGAACTGGATGTACACATAAATCTATCCAATGAAATGTGATCTGGGGCCACCACATCACAATGACTCTTGTCACTCTTTGGCAACTAAAACATGTTATGTCTCTCTTAATTTGACAAGAACCAATTACAAAGTGGTATACTCACGTCTCAAAACGTTTAACTTTACTCCTCCTGGAGAGAGAATATGAAAGAGTAGGTCAGTTTAGTGTGACGATGGGGAGTTAAAAAAAATGCACATACATGCAGAGGCTACCAGCTTTCAGAAAGACAAATGTGAGTAATTGTCAACCTAATTCAACCCAATTTCATACACACAACAATGCGCATGCATACCAAGCTGTGAGCCTATTTAAAGAGTCTGGTGAGAAAGTGTTGTATTTCTCCACTGCCTGCGTTACACCGCTGGAGTCAGCCATCTCAATGCAGATCTGAGGTAGAACGACAGTTATGGACAAAGAGAGAGAGAGTTGAAGACAAAAGCAACTAACAGAGAGAGAGCAGCAACAAACCATAGGAATCTCCATAAGAATCACTAAATTTGCAGGATGTGATTTACAGCATATTTAAACCAATCACTGTGATTGGTTATCAAATTTCAACACTTTCTTTGAACCGACCGAAATGTGTCCATAGCAAGAATCAAAAGCTGTCCAGTAGCGAAAACTGGGATCGAATGTCTAGTCAGATTTGTTTTCTTGCTCTTTGGTCAGTCAGTTCTTGATTTAAAGCTAATCTTTTTCAGTTTTCGACTTCTTACTAGACAAATTTCTTGTATGGCTGCATGTCTTTAGACAACATTAACGTTTCGTTCTACATTCTTTTGTCATGAAGGACACCATTTTGTAGAAAACTATATTTATATTTCAGTTGGAAAATAAAATTATAATTACTAGAAATACCTCGACTCAATATCCATGACCTGAGGTCGGATAAACGACAGGAAACAGATGGATGGATTAACAATGAAGTAACCAGTAAGAGTTACTTCTTTGTATATACTACTTGCAGCTTGCAGTAAGTGCTGCAATTAAATGTCCAGCTGCGCTCCTAACCTGCTGTTAGACCACCATTTTCGTCAGCACTCTAAGCACGAGTTACGCATAGGCTAGTCTTTCCAGATCTGGAGTTAGGCTGGCATGTTAAGTGTTTCATAAGTTAAAATAAGTTGCTCTTTTGAGGGGGGAGCCTGTTTTCGGGTCTCTGTTAAACTTTTTGTTGTTACATTTTGTTTCACGCTAGTGGTGGATAAAATGTTATCTATTAGTTGTTGTTTATTAAAAGGCTCCCCGACAAGTTATTTTCATTTAAGAAAACAGATACTCACTCGGATGTTTTATTTTGAGTGTTTTCGTTTGCAAATAATAGTTATTTTTGTCTGGAAAAAATCAAACACATAGATATGCAGGGTCCCACCATGTAAGGGACACACTTTTGTTGCTACTCCATGGCTCTGCTGCTGGCTGTTGGTCATGACGAATGCCCCACATGCCTCTGTGTTACTCAATTGAGAGAAGGGCTGTCCGAAAGTCAGTGCATGAATTGCTGTTTAATGCAACGGGAACTGAAGCTAGCCGGCTAGCTGAGTTGGAAGGGCTGCAGCTTGAAAGCCAGTTGCATTCATCTAGTGTGTCTTCACATGTGCGGAGCAGGCATAATCACGCACAGGTGCCCGGCTAGAAAAAAAGCCAAGAAAGTGGATTGGTTGGCAGCTAAAGTAGACACACTAGCCCCAGAATTTGCTGAGATTAAGAATTTGCTCCTTAACCTTCAGCCAGGCAGGAGAGCCCCAACCAGGGTAGACAGCCAAGCCAGAAGCCTACAAGGATGGGATTACGATGCCCTGTCTACGAGAGCTTCCTGTAATCAGTTATGTGAGGATAGACCCAGACAGGGAGAAATAGCGGCTTCCAACCATGCTTCAAATCACTGTTCCCATCAAACAGGGAGCAGGTCCAGAGCAGGCTCGGAGGCAGCCCATGCCACAATTAAGCCAGTGGTCCGTATGGTACTGGCACCCTTGGGCTTGGATGAGGCACCAACTGCAGGTACACTCAGCTAGTGCATTCTTTAGGCATCTCCCGCCTGAGGCTGGTTTTTCTGTGCCGCCATCCCAGCCATTCATTGAGGAGCTCCCACAAGTGCTGGCCAGCATTGGCCCGATCGTAAAGCTTATTCTCACCACACAACTGACGGTAGGGCCTTGGCTTCCATGCAGAATGCCAGCAGTTATGGACTGGGCGCAATGCTGGCTGAGGAGCCAGTTATAGCATCCCTCATTGTGTCAGTCACTGAGGTGTTGAGACTTGATGCTTGCTGCATCAGGCCAGTGTCACAATAAAGATCCTTCCTAGTGACGCCCCGCATCATCCCAGGTCACATGTGTGACTTTGTTGATATTAAATACTTTACCTGTGCGTGCGTGAGACGGATCATCCAGAATTCATAAAACCATAGTTACATATGTAACTCTCGTTCTCCTCTAACATCAACCAGTATATCTGTTATTAATCAGAAACCTCTTGATTTCTGCCTACGGTTGAAAGGTGATTTTTCTATCCCATCCAAGCGGGAGCTTGGCATCCATGTATCAATACAGTACTGCCACGGAAAATATAGTGATACTATGCTATTTCGATTATTTTTCGCCACCCCTTATGAAAAATTAAGCCAAAATGGAAGTGCCAAAAACTGCAGTTGGCTCCATAAATGTTCATTTAACTCCCTCATTTAAATTATAATATATGAAAGGGTTAAAGTTATGCATAAATAAGGACGTGGCTGTTTTGAGTGACAGGTGGGTGCCGTCTCAGGTCCTCCACCAAGCTTCACCTCTTTGCCCATTTTTGGATTAGCAAGAAGATAGGTGGAGTCGGGAACTGCAACACTAAGCTTCACGATAGCTCTTCCAACCCCTATGGGTGAAGCCACAGAGACTATGTCCATGTTTTATACAGTCTATGATTTCAGCCTGATCCTGACACAGATCCTTTAGTGTCCATACCTCACTGGATTCAGGATTCATGTGTTGCAAGACGAAGTGTACACAGGGGTTGTAGTTTTTGATAAAAACTGTTTTTTTGAAGTGATCTCGGACAAAATTCAAACAAAACTGCTCCATTTAATTAATAAAATTGTAATCACACTAATGTTTGTGGCTGTAACAGTGTGCAGTTTCTACTCCTTACCCTCCTCTGCAGCGTTAAGACCGTCACGCTGTAGTACAGGGAGCGAAGGTTCTGTTTGGGGAAATACCGCCAGACCAGCTTGGCAACGTCTTCATGCTGGTAGTTCCCCTCTGGTAAACTGGTCAACATGATTATGGGGAACATGGAACCACTGGCCTTCTGGAAAAGACAAAGTTCAAAGCTCAAAGTTTAATTCATTTATTGATGCTGATTGAACTTCATGGTACATTGTGACGCTGAAGTCGGTTGGAATTTAAGATGAGCAAAAACACAGAAGATTATATAAAACAGGGTTCTCTGTGCATATTTTCAGCAATATGCAGCTGTGTCTTCATCAAGAGTCAAAATGGACAAAGAAAAAATCCATCAAGGTTAATAAATTACAGGAAACACAACAAATAAAGTTCTTCATTGCCAACAAAGGGCCCCACTGATGCAACATCAGTCGGTTTAACAGAAGATCATAGATCAGAATGTGTTGTAAATAAACAAAAAGTGGTGTTTTCCAGGCATATTCAGATTGAACATGTGTGTAGAAATATGAGATTTCCTTGGGCAGATACGGTTATTTCTTAACAGTGTGAATAGCAGAGAGCTACTTAAAGAAATTTTACAAATCTGCTTAGGAAAAAACAACTGCCTCCTGTTTCAGGAACTTTTTTTGTCTTGTGAAAACCAGGGGAGTGAAACTGGTTTTTTTTAACTTTGGTTATAATTAGGGATATCCAGATCAACGTTTTCCAGCAATACTAATCCAGACTTATACATTTTCCAGAGTCAGGAAACGGGCAGGAAACATCACTGCAGATCCATCTCACCCCGGACACAACCTGTTCCAGCTCCTCCCCTCTGGTAGCAATAACCCAGTAACTCTGTCTCTAATCAGCCACCTGTTTACTGGTTAACACTTATTATTTATTCACAATTCTCTATTTCAGTGTTGTTCATACTGTCATATTGTAGACACTGTATACCAAATCCACCTACCTCAAGTCATTACTCCTTCACAAAATACTTATTTATTCCAGCATCCTTTGCACTATGCTTCATTGCACTGTGTACATGTATGCATATATATGTACCTGTATATCACATCCACCTTCGACATGTACATACTCTTGCATCCTTTGCACTCTGCTCACTGCATTTGTCAGATTCTATATTGCTTTTGTTCATAGTGTGTATATTTGTGTTGTCTACACTGAAGTCTGTCTGATTAGGGGTCCAAGCCCGAGTGGGCTGGGAACCCGCGAATGCAAGCCATCACGGTTCCCAGTTCCAGCGAAGCAGCTGGGAACCCTATTGTAATCGTTCTTGTTTTTATTTTATTTTTTACGTTATTATTGTGATTTTGTATTTTTGTATGAGTAAACACATCGTGAGCAATGTACAATCCAGAGTCAAATTCCTCGTACGTGTACACATACCTGGCAATAAAGCTGATTCTGATTTATATGTCTTCAATAGCATTTTATATAATCTATCAAAAATCAGTCCAGTGACCAACTTATCATCTGAATGATCAAAACAACAAGTTAGTAACACAAAGAACTGGGGATAAATAAACCAAAAAAGTGCAGATTTATAACACAGTGCCTACCATGCACATCTGAGGAACAACGTAGATGGTGTCATCTTTATGTTGAAACCCAAATGGAACGAGAAGTTTTGCAAGTTCATCCTCTGTGTAGCAGCCATCGTGATACCTCGGCAGTCCAGTTATGAGCAACTGCTTCTGTACAGACAGACAGATAGACAGATATTTGTGATTTTTAGCCATTTAAGAAAACTGAATTTAGAAGATATTATAATACAGTACTATATTATGCTCCATAACTATTTACAATATCAAACCAAAAATGGAGCTAGACCTTGATCTTTAAAACTACACGTAGTACTTCATACAAGTGATTTGAGGAAACCTACTTGAGATGAAAAGTGCCTGTAGCATTCTGTGAGACAAAGAAAATAAGAGAGACAGTAAAATACGATGCCATGCAGATATTTGTGACAGACAAACAGAGTGTCTTTCTTGGATTTCTTACTCATGACATTTATGTCCAGGTGCTTTTCTACCATCTCCCCAAAAGTCAGAGGGGTAACTGCAGGAAACGAAGTGGACGCTGCCAATTGCTGCTCTCTCACTGCCACAGCTGTGGGCTCAGTTGGGACAGATGCATCTTTGGCTGAAGCTGTGTGGCTCTTCACTGCAGTCACAGGATGTTCAAATGTCAAATTTTATTAACATGAATATCCATATTTTGAAACGTCACCACCCCCCCTTTACATACAGTCGCATCAAAGTCAGTGCCAAAACAAAACCTTTATTGAATGGGTTTTTTGTATTTGTTACAATGGATGAGCTTAAATAACCACATGCAAACACATTATACAAATTCAATGTTTTTCAATTTTAAGTATTTTAAAGATTGGCATACATATATATTTACATTGGGAAATTTTGAAATAGTCAGAAACTGAAGTTTTCAGTGTTTGATCATAGCTTCAAATTTGACTTTATAAGCTACATAAACCTTTTAAAAAACATTAGGGTCGCTGAAAAATTCATTGCTGCAAAGCTAAAAAAGGAGGTTATCTTTGACCATAGCAGATGTCTTGTCTTCACAGGACAAATCTGGTAATATTAGAAATGATCAAACACAACAATTAAAGTATCCTATGATCAAGTATCATGTGTGTATTAAAGCCTGATATTCCTCTGGGCCATAGAGCGCCACGGTTGTCCAAAACTACTAAAGTTTATTTTTTTTGTCAATCCCACATACACTGTCCTGTTTCCACAAATACTCCCTAGAGCACCAAATGTCCATTAATTCATTCTTTCAACATTTTCTACAAACACCACATTTTAACATACTTCATCATTCATCTATCAAAAAGGTCTCCAACATACCTTTTTGCACTGTTTTTCTCTCCATCCCTCCACTTGGCAGCTCTGCCTCCACAGCAGCTTCAGTTGAGTTTTTTGGCTTTTTCACAGCTTGCTTCGCAGATGACAAATTTCCTGTTTTTGCCGTTATAGCTACCTGATTGGTTGAGAAGTTCCTCACTTTGGAAACGCAGGCTACTGACTTCATGACAGTCCTGCCTTTAACTGAGCCTTTAGCTGCAATCTTCTGATGGGTAAGTTTGCATGTTGTGGCTATTCTGGATCCCCAGGGTAAAGGCCATTTATGCGGACGCATGCTACGTGTAGGGAGAAGAACCTTTCTAGTGGTGGTTGTGGATGTACTGGTTTGAGGTGTGAAGACACTGAATGTGGCAGGTTCTCTGTGAACAAAATTGAGTTACATGTTTTAGAATTAACTGATAACAAACAACAACAATGTAAATAATTTGAAAAAACATTTAACAAACGGGATAGACACAATATCTTGGACACAATACCTGTACAGTTTGTAGAAATGAAAAAAATATTTTTGGACCATAATAAATTGTACAGGTGTTTCAAATAGTGTCAATCTCCTGTGCACACACACATACATGTACGCTGATGATCAGTCATTAGGTTAAATCCCAAAAAGCAAATACAAAAAGCACAGTCAATTCTGAATATTTGAATAATTCTAATGTGATAACAAATTTTTCACTGAGGACGCAAATTTAAACAGCAATTCAATATTTTCAGTAATATATTGACAAAAACAAGATAAACCCCTCCAACTTCCATCGCAATAAATCTATGTGAAACATAACTCACTTCTGAGGAGGCTGCTTTTGCTCCTTAGAATCAGTCTCCTGTAAACAATTATATAACAAATACATGTAGTTATTTTACATTAATCTAATAATTGACGGCATGACCACACAACAGCAGACACATGTTAATATGTAAATTTACCAAGAACGAAGAAAGAAAGGAAAAGTGTAATACCTTTTTTCTGATAACAGTGATTTCTGTTCCTTTCACAGTGAGGCTCCTTACGCTCTTCAGTTTGTTAGCGTCTTTCTCTTTCTCAAAACACACGACTGCCTACACACACACACACACACACACACACACACACACACACACACACAAATGTAGGGCTGAACGATTCGCAATTTTTCTGCCAAATATTGCAATTACGATTCGTTTTGCTATTTTTCAAATGAAATTTTGCTAATGTTCAAGAAGCCACGTCAAGCAGCACAGAGCAGATGAACCAGACAGGAAGTAAGACACAAAACGGTATACAGAATCCGGTTGATTTTCAAAATAAAACACCCATTGCAGACTCCCGATCATACATTAACATTAACCACAGCTCAGAGAGAGCTGTTATCTGTAGTTGAAGCACACAAAATGACAAATTAAGAACATGTTAACAACGTGTAGGCTAAACGCTTTACACTGGACAAAACTGCGGCACAGCTGCTGCTGCGTCAGTTCGTATGAAAACCGGGGTAAAGTCGGTTTTAGATTTAACATTAACAACACCTCGTTTTCGTGGTTTTGGTTAGGTTCAGGAGTTTGATTCCCCTGTTACTCAAATAGAAATACATTGGATAAAAGCATCATACCAAATACCAAAATAAAACCCAACAGATGGTCATGGAAAAAATATATTTTGTATATAATGAAAAGGCAAAACATAGGCAAATATAGGTCTGGATCGCAACAACACACTCTCACTCTTCACTCTCTCTATACATACCTCCAGTCTGGACCGAAACAGTACAACTGACTTGGTTTTTCCAAAGTGCTCCACAGCAACAATCACATCACTGCATGAGACAGAAGTACTAATCCCTTTGAGTCTCACCATGGTTGGAGGTGAAGGTTTACCGGACTGAGTGAAAGAGAGAAAAACACAAACTCAGAACCGATGTTGGTCGTCATCATTAACGGACTTCTGGAACTGGTTGTCCTTTAAAAATGCATCTGTGGTTTAACTGTCCAATTAAACCTTAATGTCATCTGTCCTTTCTGGAAACATAATTTTTTGCTTTGTGTGTAATAAAGTATAACACACACACACCAACCTTAGTCTTTGTAGCAGAACTTGCTACCTTCTTCTGCAGGCTGGGCTTTGCTTTGCAGGGAGATGGTGATGAGGAGGAGGACTTCATCTTGGCTAGTAAGGCAGGAACCAGAGCTTTAACCATGGCCTCCAGGTCCGACTGCATTGACAGAGACTGGACAGCTATAGCAACAAAGACAAACAGTCAAATTGTCAGACAAAACTGCAGCATTTTTGTGGTTGCAAAGTCTCAAAGACAGTCTCTATTTTAAGATGAAGAAATGTAGAGTTAATTATCATATTATCATAAAGTGATCTCATCTTTCTTGCTAGTTACTTCATAGGCTTTCAGCATATTTTCTCTGGGAAATTTTTACTTGGTTAAGTCAGCATCTGAACCACTGGAAAGTGAAGTAACAATTACAGACAATACATATTTATACATATGTAAGAAATGCTGCTTCTTCCCAGTAAGCTAGCAAAAAGTGATTGCACTTTGGTAAGATGACGGACATGGTCAATATTACGTTAATTTAAAAGGAAGGGAAAACCTTTTGATTGTATTTTTTCCCTCTCTTGTCATTTTTGCATAATTCATGTTCAGATTATAAAAACATTATTAAATATTAATGTTGGCAATCAATTTAGGCAAGTTTCAATTCATCATTTAGTCATTCAGAAAATGAAGATAATGTTGATTATCAAGTCTCTGATTGCAATATCACAAATTGCATGTTTGCTGGTTTCCATCATCTTCTACATTGGTAAACAGAATATGTTTGGGTTTTCCAGACTGAAAGTTAATTAATCAATAATGAAAATAATCTTTAGTTCTCCCTAAAGAACTAAACTCTACATCTCTCTACCGTAAAGGTGCTATGCAGATTTGAGAGAGGTACCACTTTTCTCATTAGTAAGAAAGCGAACAAGTTCATGTCCCAAATTAGCTAAATATTCCTTGAATGTAAAAACTACAGGTTCACAAACCGTCTTTACTCTGGGTCTTAAAATGTTTGCAACTTCTCAAACCTGATGTTTCCAGTAGTTCCTCAGCCAGTCTCTCAGCACTGCTTGACTTTTTTCGTTGAGGAGATGAGTCTTCTGTGGACGATCGTCTCCTACTCGATGGCAATTGCCTCTTGTTGCTCCTCCATGGTGGAGTTTGTCTCTCCTCGCTCCACCTTGGTGGCGAACGTCTCTCCTCGCTCGTCCTTGATAACGACAGTCTCTCCTTGCTCCACCTTGCTGGTGAAAATCTCTTGACACTCCTCTTTGGTGACGATCGTCTGTCGTCGCTCCACCTTGGTGCCGATCGTCTCCTGTTGCTCCTCTTTGGTGGTAATCCTCTCTCCTCGCTCCACCTTGGTGGCGATTGTCTCCAGTTGCTCCTCCATTGTGGCGATCGTCTCTCGTTGCTCCTCCCTGGTGGCGATCGTCTCCCGTCGCTTCTCTTTCGTGGCAATAGTCTCTCACAGTTCCTCCTCTGCGATGATCGTCTTTCAGGGCTCCTCGAACGTGAATGATAGTGGGAGGAGTGCGGGGGCTCATACAATGGGGAATGAGAACGAGATCTGATGAAAGTACAGATTAAATCATATTATGACTTAACTCTTTTTTTATTTTTAAATTAAACAATTCACAGTATGTCTAGACTTCTCAAGTGGTGAGTGACAAATCCATAGAGGCTAAAACGTTCTGTAGGAACATATTTGGTACTTTTACAATCTAGTCGTGAGAAGAATCTCTTCTCTTGCTTGATTTATTGTTCAAATCAGAATTATTGTTTGACAAACCTGCGACTGTATCTGGGGCTGTGCGTTGATCGTGATCGGCTGCTGTGTTGCTCGCTTCTATCCTCCAAGCCATGGCGGCGGCGGCGGTGGCAGCGAGGGCTGGGTGAGCTGGAACAGCTAGAACGGGAGCCTCTTCCATGCCTGGTAATCTGATGACGATGCTGGAAAGTGTGTGCAGAGGTTGATGCTGAGGGCTTGGCATCTTTATGTGCAGCCCTGAAAAGAACAACAGATGAGAAAAGCATAAAGCAAATTCTTAGCTGCTGTCAAAATATTGGTTTTAAACTGTAGCAGTTTCTTTTAATAATAGTATAGTTGTATTTATGGCTACAGCTACAGTGTGATATAAAGCCAAACTTTGCTGCAGAACAGAGACATATGGTCTGCATCTTCCAAACCTCTGCAGGATCAATTCTTCTTACTTTTTCTTACTTTTCGTTCACAGTAACGCTGTTTTTTTTACGCATTGAGGAAACAGTCTGCTCCACGTCATGGTAGTGTTGATCCATACAGAGTGAGCATGAAAAGTGTCAGGTTGTGCCAGAACGGTTAATTAATTAAAAGTGTGAGTTAACACAACATACAATATCAATAAAACCCCAGTGCCTGCCCCACTTTATTTTTTATAACTTTATTTTAATTTACCTGGGCTCGAGTGCTATAGTACCATCCCACTCTGGGTATCTGTGGAAACAATTTAAACACACTGATTAAAACAGTAAAGAAGCCACATTCTGACAACAAAAGCCAAAGGTTTCTGCATTGAGGTAAAGCATTCAAGAGGTGTTTCTAAAGTCAAAGGGTATAGTAACGGCAGAAGTAATCAGGGACAAACAATACTGAGAAAGAGGTTGTAGTATTTCAACCTCTTTTTCTGTCCAGTGTCTCCTTTACAGTATTTTGGCACACGCCTGGTGGGCATCCCCCAGCATTCAGAAAAAAGGCAATGATCAAAGAATAACTCAAATTAACAAGATCTTTACAGGGAAAAGATGAAATACAAAAAGACTAACTGTTTTCGCAGGAGTTTGCAGCTCTCAAGGTGAAAGCTGGTGTTCTGGTGGGAGAGCCAGTCCTAGTCACGACAACAGACACACAGAATTTACATACGGTTTTCATCACAACTGCTATCAGCTTCAATGTGGCATTTTGTGTCTGACCACACATATCATATTCAACATTAAAGCAGCCTTAAAAAATTATATTAAAAGAGCTACAAAAAGTCTACAAAAGAAAAATATTTATCTGGTTTCTTTAAATCTTCAGCCAACAAAATACAGGAACAACCTTGAGCCCAAGAGTGGAGCTGAGACATTAACCAACAGTTAATAAAATGTTATGGTTTTGGAATCAGCTAAAGACTTGAAAACGATAAAACAAGTTACATATGGATGAAATTAAAAACATAAATCCTTTAGAAAATTGACAACTTTAATTTATAATTACAGCTGACTTTATAGTCAACTTCAGTTCAAGGGCAACAAGTCTTTATCATGAAATATACCAAGGACTCCCAGTAAGAAAGAACCAAAATAAAAAGTTCTCAGATTCTTGATAGTTTGACGTCTAGTTCGTCAGCTTGGCTACAAAAGGTCTTTCATAACCAATCAATGCAATAATTTCTCTCAATTCCTAAACACGTCTCTACACTGGAAACATATCTGTTACTGTGCAGGTTGTGTTATTTATTGTTTAGGTAGTGAGATTTTTTAATGATGTGGTTTTTAACCAGCCTGTGAAGCAAAAAACAAATTTCGACATTTGTGGACAATAAAGATCGTTAACAATTAACAAAATACTTAGTTTGGGCTGAAGTACATCAAAAAACTACAACAGTCTCCTTCAGTACTTCCCCACCAGTGAATAAATGGTAGAGTGATTAGCATTTTATAATGAAAAACAAACATTTTAGATACTAAAATAAACATAAACTTTCCTAAAGTCAGAGTGAACAAAGCGCGATCTTTCACTCACCTTCATATGATTAAATTCTTTGTTACAAAGAGAACAGGTATGTGGAAAGATTTCTGGTGAGGCCGCCGCATAGTCCTGCATCATGGACGGCGTTGGCAGGGCCTTGGAGACTCCCACCTTTGCTGGGAGCTGCGTGTGGGAAGTCGGCAGCGTCACGTGATTGAAATTCAGACCTGGGATTGCCTGAGCTGGGATGGAGCGTGGATCACCAGGGATAGACACCGGACGTTGCATGGCCTGTGAAACATCAGTGATGATGGGGATGAGAGGGTCAGGGGGAACTGATTTCGCAGCAGGAAAAACTGGAGGCCTGATCTCCTGCCCCGTCTGCAATGATGGCTGCTTCTGCGTCTGCTGTGTCTGTTGCTTTTTCATCTGCTCAGCAACTGTTGACCTTTGACCTTGTGTTTCACTCTGATTCTTAGCGCCATGGGGGTCATTACTGCCAACGATCACAAGGTCGGGTTGGCTGGGATGCACGCCGCGGAGCAAAGAGCAGGGTGGTTGAGTTTTCAATGCTGACTGGCGATCTGCCTGTGGTTCTTTTAAGGGACCGGGTTTGGAGGCTTCAGGCTTGAGAACTCTGATGTCGGTGTCCTTCTTTGGCAGAGAGAAGCGGCTGGGGATTGTTTGGGATTTCTGCAATCGTTTGTTCGGATCATTGCTTGGGGGAGCCACAGAGCCAAGACTGGTAACAGAACTCGCCTGATCACGTGAAGAACCCAAGGCACTGCTTTTCACCTCTGTTGTATTTTTTAGTAGTGGTTCTCGAATGTGGCTGCTACTATTGAAAGCGTCCATCAGAAACGTACTTCCCCTCCCACCACTGTTGGATCTACTGCCACTGGTCATTCCAATCTCATCCATCAATTGGGGTTCGGGATAGGGTACTGACTGAACTGCTGTTGTAGCACTCTTGGCCTTCTGAATGCCGATTTGGCGCAAGATGAACGGCAGGTTATCAGGAGTGAGCTGGTCTTCAGGGTAAAAGATGAGATGGTCCAAGTCCTCTTTTTCAAGTCCAAAGCGCAGGAGGATGTTTGCAGCGGATTCAGAAGTGTGCTTGGGTCGACTAGACTCTGTAGAGGCGACAGGTTTGTCTGACCCTGCATAGTCATAATCACCTAAACCTGGAATGGACTGCATATCGTGTTCTCTGTTATTGGAGGTATTAAACCTACTGTCCCCACCGCTTGCAAAATTAGATGAAGCAGATGAAGGATACAATTTAGAGTCATCCGCAGTAGGTCTTTCGTAGTTCGATGACCAGTCCAAGGAGCTACTGCTGCTTTCAACGTCCCAGTGTCTACGTCCCACAGAGGCAGATGTTGAGGACATTGTGTAGGAGGCCACCCCTGCGCCCCAGAAGGGAAACTCATCCCTTTGAGTGTTGGTGAAGCAAGTACCCTGGTCTACGGGCTCTCTAGCTCTGTGCATAGACTCCTCTATGTCATCATCCATTAAGGCCCGACCCTGTTCAAAAAACCCAAAGTAAAAATTTTAGCCTGAAAACGAGCATAGTATGGGACCTTCAAACAAGTAGCATAACATGTTAAAATAATGTTGCTTACCAACTCTTGACTTAACCGAGGGGAAGAGAAAACTTGTGTTAAGTGTAACAAAAGTTTTTCCCCCCACGCTCCATCAAATCAATGCAACCATTAACAATAACAAAACAGACATTTGTTCCCGACATCCCTTAATTTAATGACTTAAGAGTTTGATCAATATTTATCAGTTTTGAAGGTCTAAAAGGTGGTGTTGCGCTTTTATGCGAGCCACAGGCCTGGATCCCAACATCACTGACACATTTTACAAAAACAAACACAAGCGCAAAATATTCATAATGTTGGCAAACGGCTGCGTTTCGTTATACACGAACTGTTCGCCAGCCAAACTGAGTTCAGATAAATGGCTGAATAGTCTCTTGAGCTCCTGCTAGCAGTTAAGTTAACAGAAATTTTCAGGAGGGCCCGGTTACACACACACACACACGCACACACACACACGCGCGCTAAACAAGGCTTCCGGTTGACAAACAACAAGTACAGCGACTGAAAATACGTAACGTTGGTGTTTATATTAACAACATCTATGTTACACACCTTCCGTTATTTGTGGATATGCCGAAGCTTTGACGTGCTCAAAGTCGTCCTCGGGATGTTGACAGCTGCTTAGCAGGGAGGAACTCTGGACTGTCAACAAACTCCTACAAACTTCTGGTTTTGGTGTCCAGCCTTCAGAGTAAAAGCGAGGCCGTTTGAAGACGTGCTGAGCTCGGGAATGAAACCAGAGCGCAACCTGCTGTCATCCCTAAAATTGATCGATAGGTCTTTGAATAAACTCTCTCCTGCTATTAAATCAATCGTGTGTTTAGATATTTGGGTTGCAAGGCTCTTATTTTGTGTACACATAACGTTAGCTACAACTGGATGGATAAGTAGGTTAAATAGCATTTTTGTTTGTATTTTAATTAGTAATTATTCAAACTACAACTGAAATTATGTGAAATTATTTCTCCATTAATTGACTGGTTGAGTGAACACAAAAATAATCAGCAAAGTTAATCGACTAATGATTTAACCCTGAGTCAGAAATTGTGGTAGCCTAGTTGTTTTTTAATTAAATAAATGCATTTGAATTATTAGAAATTATTAAATTAAATAATAAAACATAGATTGTTGCAGCAGTAAAAAAAATCTATCCAATAAAGGAACAGATAGTTCAAATAATATTTTGCATTGTTGTAGGCCTATTTACAATTTCAAACAGTATTCAAGATATAGCTTGAACGCAATTTGACCCTGAAGGAACACTCATACAAAAACATGCACCAAAAAGAGGTTGAAAAGATATGCACAGCACCAATTCATTTCTAAGACATTTATTTACCAAAAATGTTTATGTGCTTCCCTCTAGTGTTCACAGACTCGCAAGTCTGTGGCAAACTCCTTATGATCCGTATCATGTCATTTTGGGTTATGACCTGTCATTTTTCAACTGAACCATTGTCACCGAACATGCCTGGATAGCATGTCCCAGACTCCCAGACATGCTCGATTGAGTTTGGGACCCCCCTGATCTTGCATTGAGATGAAGTCCTAAGCAACAGCGCCTGCAAATGGCCTGACAAGTAGCCTATCGCTCATCACTGGATTTAACTGATAATCTGATTTAGAGGCTACATGAATTTATGTCAGATAGAGTCCTAAAATGAAGGTGATAAAGCCTTGCCCTGCAAATAAAAATATGCATCAGTGAGGACTTCCTTTAGCTGAGAAGCCGACAACAGGTTGGTCAGCCAATCATTTAATTTGGACCAAATTGATTCATTGGTTATACAGTCCTGTGACAGCCACAGATAAGGAATTTGTTTTTTATTTTTTGTTTTTTTTTTAATATTTTTGTATCATTTCGAGTGTCAGGAAGTTAAGATAATTTTAACAAAACTAAAAATGCTTCTGAAATAAACTGCCTACCACATCTTCAAGTAACATTTTCAATGCAGGACATTTAGGCTACTTTAGTTTTTTTTTAAGGGTGAGGTATTGGTACTTTTATTTAGCCTACCTAAAGGATCGGAATACTTCCTCAACCATTGATTTGACTTAGCCTACTTACCAGTACAGATATTAAGACAAACTTATTGAGGTTTCTAGTTTCATACTTAGGTGCAGGGGGGGTAGAGTGAGAGAGATCATTGCTTATTAGGCTACAGTATGATTGCAAGCTGTATACTCAGCAGGTTGAACTTTCTGCCCTGCCATCTGCTTATGCTTTGCAAACAAAGGGAAGTAGACTGAGACACAACACCACATCTGGTGGCTTACATCCCTAAAGTCTTCCGTGTTGGCTCTTCAGAATTGTTTTGAGATGCACATTATTTTACTCATATTTTCATGTTTCTCAGCCACTTGTGGCTTACTTTTACAAATGTCATTTACCTCAAATTCAATAAGGCCTTAGCCTATGCATATCAAGGCTGCCTAATGATAGCACCTTGTGCAGGTGCTTTATTTTGGTTTGCGGGTTCATACCTTTTTCCGCAATATCGCCATCAAAAACATTTCACACATACAGTTGAATATCGTTACGAAACACATTCTGCAAGTTTTGTAACAACCATTTTCTGATCTATAGCTTGATTTGTGTCATTTCACATCCAGTTACGATGCATTTATAGCGCCCCCTAGTGGTCGATTTGAATGAGGTGCCTATGTAGACATTTCCTGGAAGTTTTGTGTTGATTGGACAAACAATATGTTTTTTGTAGCCTGATTTATGCCCTGCAGTTTGTTTGCATTTATAGCGCACCTTTTCCAGTTATTCACTCAAGTTCATGTTTCTAGCTCATTCCAGCTCATGGGAATTTGAGCCGCTGCAGCAGACAACAAATAATAACAATAACTAAAACACACAAACATAGAAGGGTTCTCCAACGCTGTAGGGGGGCACTTACAGCCTGTGGATACCCTAAATGGACCTTTGTGAAGACAGCCACAAGATCCAAGAAGAACAAAACTACAGGGGAGGAAAAGAAGGTCAAACGCAACAACATTGTGATTCCATATGTGTCTGGAGTATCAGAGAAACTCAGGAGGATTTTCAACAAACATAACATCCCTGTGTTTTTTAAACCCAAGAACATACTAAGACAGATGCTGGTACACCCCAAAGACCGCACACCCAAACACAAGAAAAGCAATCTAGTGTATGCGGTCCAATGCAGTGAGGAATGCACTGACCTCTATATTGGGGAGACTAAACAACCACTACACAAACGCATGGCTCAACACAGAAGGGCCAACTCCTCAGGTCAAGACTCTGCAGTCTACTTACATTTGAAGGACAGAGGACACTCATTTGAGGACCACCAGGTGCACATTTTAGACAGAGAAGATGGATGGTTTGAAAGAGGTGTCAAGGAAGCATCTACACCAGGGTCGAGAAGCCGTCATTGAACAGGGGAGGGGGTCTACGCCACCACTTATCCCCCACTTACAATGCTGTCCTTTCATCACTTCCCAGGAAACTCAACAAACGTAACCTATTGGCCTCAGGTGAAGATACCAACGATGGTCGTTCAGTCTTGGCCACAGGTAGTCTTAACGACTGTAACGACTGTCGTCACAGCAACAAGGAACACTAACGAACCAGCGGTATTGATGACCCGGGCCAACAACCCCACTGAGGTTAAATAGCTGAGTTTCCCTGCCAGTCAGTCAGAACTCAACTCGTCCTCAGGGAAATGAAAATAAGCGTTCATTCGTTTATGAATGGGACGTGCACACACACTGCATCACACGCTTTATTGTGAGCATGTGCAAAAGTGTCCTATTAATCAATTTGTTTAGCAAGAGAGAACAAAAATATCTGCAGTATGTTGGGATGATCATACCACCCTCCTGCCGGGAGTACCGCACACTACTGACTTAGCTAAATTTGCACATGAGTATCCAAGAATTTGAAGTAATTTGACTAAGTAACCATGTAGGCCTAATGGCTTCAAAAAACTTGGCCTGATGCCAGACTTAACAGACTTGCCAGATGTAAAGTGTCTATCATGGACACAACTTTTTTCATTAAATTGTAGATTAAATAAACAATGTATATTGTGCATTACATAGTAAAAAGGGAGGGATTATAGACAGCTCAGGACTTTTAATGCCTGTGACTCCCCGTCAGTCAGAATGGAAGAAACCTTTTGCAACAAGATGCAAAATATCTTCAAGAATCTAAGGTCAGTCCTGTTACACTTGACATAGTCCTTCTGGATATGCCATGACCACTAGTGGACAGAAAAAAAACCCCTCTTCGATGCTCCTGAGGTAGATAAAACATGATAAAATGGCCTGTATGGTGGCCCAATGTGCAAGAAAACGTGATTTTCCTCTAGGGTGCGCCTCTAGTGGAGAAAACCTATCTGGAGAAAACGTGATGCAGTGCCTTGTAGGCTGCACTACATGCTAGAACATTAGTTGGCCACACACCATGTTGGCCTTCATCATTTGATATGATAATTTATCAGTGTTTCAGAATCTATTGTCTGAACAGTTTATCCTGTTCCGGTTTACAGGTGAAATGCTGTCATGTTTCACTGTTTGATTGAAGCTTGCCTGAAGCCAAATCATTTCACAGTGTCATTGTTTGAACATTGGTTAGAGTCAACTCCAGAGTGGGAATTGTACCATTTCATACACTACATCTGATAATCCTTTACAGATGGTCAGTGATTTTATAACCCACCACACACTCGGGTGGAGTAGGATGATTTATTTTTTTATAACAAATAAATAGAGTAAATAGATAAGTAACTGCATATAGGAGCCGGTCTTTCTCTTGTACAGCACCTTACACAAAAAGACTGAAGCTACAAGCTGACCTTAAGAAGGTCACACAATGACTATTACTTGGCAAGCAGTGACTCCCACCTCGCCTTTGGTTTTTAAAGTATGATAAGCATCTGGTCAGAAAATAATTTCAGCATTATTTTCTGGCAATAAAAATGGTGTTTTTCTGGCAGTTTCTTGTGATTTTAAAATTAAGTATATCCTGATAATCCTCCATGATTATTGTGACAACCTGGCCCCTTAATGATTAGCTAATTTTTTTGTTACCACTAAAATTCCTGGTGAAAGGTGCTTTTACCCAACCAGTAAAGGTGACCCTGCCTCTACACCAGTGGTCAGCAATTGGAGCCCCGCGGCCAGATTGCTTTGATAGCAGGAAAATAAAAAATAAATAAATTGAGAGCGGCTGCTCCTGTAATAGATTTCAGTCATGACAGCTACAGTCACTCACATATTCACTTCCTCTTAAGTGATTGTGCCTCCAAAATAAAAGCATGAGAATGTCTTTTGCAGCAATGCTTTATATTGAGTTTATTGAGAGCTTTTACTTTGAAGAGTTCTGAAGGACATTCAAAAGAGACTCTGGCTTACTTGACACACCTCTGAAAAAGTCGTCAGTAAATGGGTGTTTGGATTCCCCTGAATTTCCTCAGGGAAATGAAAATTAGTATCCATAGGTTTATGAATGCGGATCAAACGCCGGAACATGCACACACTTGAAATAAAAGGTCACTTTTGCACATGCTCACAATAAAGCGTGTGCAAAAGTGTCCTTTTATTCAATTTGTTTAACATTCATCTTAAATGTGCAATTGTACTACTGCCTGCCTTGGCCAGGACACTCTTGGAAAAATAGTTTTTCTAGTTTAATTAAAGGTATAATAAAACAATTTAAAATCTAAAACTGTAACAAAATATAATGCAGAGCAGCTCTCAGGCATTCTGGGTTGC